TCGACACTCCGCAGGACCGGTGAGCTCCTGTCACTTCCACTTCTTCACTCTCCACCAGAAAACCCACATAGTTTTGCTCTCAACCACGCGCCTGTTTCTGGACCTGCTTGTTTACATCCATCTGCTCTCTTGTTTCCTCCCCCCCTCCATCCCTAGGGGCTGTTTGGTGGGAATCATTTTCTTCATCCTGGGCCTGGGAACGCTGCTGCCATGGAATTTCTTCACAACCGCCTCCCTGGTAAAAACATTTTGATCCTACAGAGACGGGGCGTGCAGGTTCATGGGGAGGGGTCACTATAGGTCGTCTAGCTAATTTACTGGAGACCATAGAGGAGATTGATCCTCATTACTGTAATGTAATCTTTTGCCGCTGTCTTGGCCAGGAATCCCTTGAAAAAGAGATTGTTAATCTCAATGGGACTTTTCCTGGTTAAATAAAGGAATAAAAAAATAAATAAATTACAGGAAATATCTCAGTGGTCGGCAACCCAAAATGTTCAAAGAGCCATATAGGAACAAAAAACCGATCTATCTGGAGCCGCAAACATTTAACAGTCTTATATATATCTTATATATCAGACCACTTTCAAAATGACTAATTAGGCTTAAATACATAATAAAAGTTCATGGTTAAATGTTTCTTTTCCTGCAGCGCATCCTGGAGAAAATTACACTATCTGGTGCTTTAAGTTTATCTTCAATTACAGTATTAATGTATTATTGTTTTTTGAATCATGGAATTATAGAAATATAGTTAAGAATTCAGATTTGTGGTGGTATTTTTATTTTTGAGGATTTGGAAAAATAAAATGGAGTATGCATAATAGGATTTCTGTTATTTCAAACCTAAATGGAAATAAAATGCAGTCCTTTTCAAACCACAGTAACAATAAAATCCTCTTTCCCCCCCTTATCGGGGAAACGGTGCAATAAAACGCAGCCTGCACCGGCAGCCTTTAGATAAGCTAAGTAGGCTATTTAAACGATATAATTTGATTACAGTGAACCCAGCGGTTTGTTTACAACAGCCACCTGCCTGGCACCGCGCCGCGCTGAAACGAGTCGTTGATAATGACGTAAATCTTTGTTCATGAAACATTTATTGTTTATTTATTATACAATTTTTACAGCATTGGACAAAAATAAAGAATGTTTGTTTGTCCTACACACTATATTAAAAGAAAAATCCATCTTTTTCCATGTTTAGCTTTGAAAAAGGTCCAGTGAGCCGCAAGGGGGCGCTAAAGAGCATCATGCGGCCTTTGAGCCTATCTGAATTATTTTTTTTTCTTTCTTTTTTTTACATCTAACTTAAAGTTAAGATCTGATTGGCCGTCAGGGCTCTAGCACCAAAGCAGTAGGTGGTTCTGCAAAGCTTCATCAGTGATGATGATGAAGCTGCTATCAAAGGCTGGTTTGTTGGTTTCTGTAGAAAAACACGACGGTTTGGAAAATCCCTCTCAGGGCTTCAGCCCGGCCACCATTGCTCACTTCTTATCAAACAGACGGTTGTTTTACACGTCTGGGTGCAAATAAAGTTTTAATGGATCCCAAACTTCCCACTTCATCTTAAAAAAGAAGAAAAATCTTTATTTTAAATGATTTTAACTCGATAATTCAGATTTGTGTGAAATGGGCTTTAACTAGTACTAGTATTTACTTTATGAATTACCCATTTTTAAATGAAAATAAATGCATTTATTTCACATTCTGCCATCTTTAGGTCAGAAAAGATGCAGTTAAATAATCTCAGTCTAAACATTTTGAAAAGGATATTTACCCACATGTGGGAAAATAAACAGGAAGCAGGTATTTATGGAGAGGAATCTAAACTGGTAAATATAAAGGATTTAAAGACGTGATTACATTTAGGATTCATGAGACTTTTAACAGAATTTACTTTTTCATAAAAAATGTAATTTGAATTATTTTTAAAACAATTCCAATATTTCTAATATTTTTTTTTTTTCATGTTTTGAAGCTTTTTTTAAATGACGTTTTCATTTTTTTTTTTTTTATATTAACCGATCAAATTTGCTTCACTTTAATCCCAATAACATTATTGTTGTAATCTATGTACAACAATAGAAATTAATATTTGCTCCTCAAAGAAAAAAAAAATCGGAATTTGAAAAAAATAAATACAATTTGAGAAAAATGTATGAAAAAATGAAATGCAAAGTTATCCTTAAGAAAAATATTAATAAGAAGTTCTTCAAAGTTTAATTCCTGGATAATATATATGTTTTTATAGAACAATATTGGCACTAAATTCCCTCCGTAAATGACCATATGGGGGTAAAATGTGATCGTTTCTTTGAGCCCGCCTCACAGGTTCCTGCCGCGTCATGGAGGCTAACTCCTCCCTGTTCTCCAGTACTTCCAGAGTCGCCTCAACAGCACCGAGTTCAGCAACGGCTCGTCGGTCCAGAAAGAATATTACTTCAACAACTGGATGACCTTCCTCTCCCAGCTGCCCCTGCTGGTTTTTACGCTCCTCAACTCCTTCCTGTACCACAGGTCCGTGTCTCCGCGTGGTTCTGGTCGGGCCGCCGGGTTTTGGGTTTCGGTTCTGACGCCGACTGCTTGTTTCAGGATATCGGAGGCCATCCGGGTCGCGGGCAGCCTCGTCTTCATCCTGCTGCTCTTCATCTTCACGGCGGTGCTGGTCAAAGTGGACATGGAGCAGGACTTGTTCTTCTCGGTCACCATGGCGACCATCTGGTTCATCAACTGTAAGTTCCTGCTGCTTCGCGGTGTGTGACGCAGCTGAGGGGCGGAGCTCTTGACCTGCTGGTTCTGGTTCTGCAGCGTTCGGCGCCGTCCTGCAGGGCAGCCTGTTCGGCCTGGTGGGGCTGCTGCCCCAGAACTACAGCGCCGTCTTCATGAGCGGACAGGGGCTCGCCGGGACCTTCGCTGCCATCGCCATGCTGCTCTCCTTAGCCAGTGAGTCACTACCTGTTGCTTAGCAACGTTATGGGCATGTAAAATCGTGTTCAAACCATCTTCCTGGGTGTTTTTGGGGGTTTTTTAAATGTTTTTCTCCTTGTGCTCCTTCCTAATCACTCAGGTGACGTTGACTCTGAAACTGCAGCCTTGGGTTACTTCATCACACCGTGTGTCGGGACTCTGGTCACTCTGCTCAGCTACCTGCTGCTGCCTCGCCTGGTCAGTCGCCTCCTGTGGTGTCGCAGCCTTAGCATCTGCTGTTTGATGCCTTCGGGAGTATTACTTCCGTCTTTAAATGAAACTGAAAGGAGCCTTTCATCAGATAAAGATGAGATGTTTTAACGCTGTTGTTTCCCTGCAGGAGTTTGCTCAACATTACCTGAACAGAAGCAGCAAATATGAGGAAGGAACCACAGACAAGCTGCTAAACGGTAAGACCCAAAAGATAAACCTGCAAAATGAAAGTCAAATGTGGGACAGTATTGGATCAGCACTGAGACAGAAGTGAAAGAAATCTGCACAGATGGGGATCTGCTCCCCCTGTTTGGTCGGAGCCCGCCTATAGTCAGTGCAACATGGGGGGGAAAAACAAATATCAGATCAGAGGTTAAAAAGTCCGAAGCAACCGGTGTTTTCCTGCCAGCTCCCCTCCCCTCTGCAAGTTTTGTATAACTGTCGTTATTTTTATGCAAACCACCTCAGATTGTACCAGCCCCTGTTCATGAGAGTGGAGAAACAGAACAAGTTCCAACACTTTTCTACCTGCCCTTATTCTTTTTGCAGAGATGCATAGATAAGTTCTATCTAGATTTTTGATTCAGGCAAACCTGTTGAACAGCCCTACGAGACATGGGTCATAACCATTTCAACAAGGAAATCCAGACCTCATTTATAAAATGACCAGACTTCTTAATAAATGCAAATCTCACAGTCTGAAGAAAGCATTTCTTTTTTTTTTTTATATTTAACCTTTATTTTACCAGGAAGTTCCTTGAGATAAAATCTCTTTTTTGAGGGAGACCTGGCCAAGAGGCAGCAGTACAGTAAGACATATAAAAACACATAAAAACAGCATAATAAAATCAATCATAAACTAGACTCTAGAATAACTTACAATTCTCTGTGCAAGCGGTTTTCAATAGTGATTTAAAATGCTGTAGCGGAATAAGAGACCGTAATTGCAGGGAGTTTTGAACATTACCATACCATACCATACCAACTTTATTTATGAAGCACTTTATACACCGAACAGGACCAAAGTGCTGTACACAATCATAAAATACAATAAAATTATAAAATAGAGAAAAAACGAGTGTAAAATACATATTAGTATACAAAAAAAACTCCTCAGTTATATATGTACAACTTTACATGCATAAAATAT